TTTTTCACCGCCAAGTCTTTTGGCACTCAGAGGCCTACTAGTAAGGCTTGGTACTCTGCTTCGTTGTTGGATGCTTTGAAGCCTAGAGTGATTGCTTTTTCGAGCATCAAACCGTCTGGGGTGACAAGGACCACGCCTGCTTCTGAGCCTTTGTAGTTGGATGCGCTGTTGATGTGCAAATACCATAAGTCTTCATTGGGTAAAACAGACGTGGCTAAGGTGTGCTTAGTTGCCTCCGAGGCATTGTTGGGTTGCTCTGTTGCGTCGCCTAGGCTAGGCATGAAGGCGCGGTAGGGAGCCATGGAGCTGGGGCCATATTACACGTAGCAGGAGATGCTCAACTGCTAATATTGGGCCACTCTAGAGCTAAATTATAAAGCAAAGGTTGTCGGGGGCCATGTGACGCGCAGTAGGATGTGGTGCTCAACTGCCGATACATGTTACTCATATGTAGAATCTTTTAGGGCGACGAGGACAAAACTTGCTTCTGAGTGTGTCCTTCTAGTATTTGTCTACCCTTGGTGTGCCTTTTGGGTTGAGTCGCTGTGTTCGTCGAAAAACATTTCATCCGCCAGTGTTTGCCCCTTTATCGTCACGAGTCTAGATTGAGCAGAATAGTGTGTCATGAGGATGACTGCGTGCATCTGAAGGTATAACTTAAGCTTTTGGTTCGCAAAAACTGTCGCCAAAGTTAGCTTTTGAATTTCTAGTAGTTGGTTTCCACATCGATGTAAGCTTTTAAACTATGGAATACAGGTAGTCAAGCCCCCAACTCTTCTCATATGATGGTACATCTTATTGCTACTTCAGATACTATCAAACATGTGAATAGGTCATCATCTGGTCAGACCTTGAATCTCCTTCAGAGTAGTGGGTGACTTCATAATCAAGATTGCTCGGATTTGCTTTAAATGTGCATCGGCGATCCTAGTCCCAAAGTACATGTTTCTCTGCCAGAGCGAAAGAGTTTGCCATAGTTAGTTCTTCTTTCATGATCAATTCTTCGAACAACGGGTGGTCTGCTACGAGTCATTTTTGGAAGGCTGCACTAACTATCGAGTTGTCGCATCCGACTATCTTTATCTTCTCTGCTTTGAACCTCTTCACATAGTCACGAAGCGACTCCTTTGAGTTATTCTTGACATTGAACAAATAGTTAGACTTCTTCTTGATCAAGTTGTAGGATAAATATTTTTTGATGAAAATCAAAGAACGTTCATTGAAACTTTGGATAGATTGTGGCGGCAAGGTGTGGAACCAATCTTACACATGAGAGTGTTATTGTTCCAATAAAGGACCATTGCACTCAGGTAGTGCTTCAAGTGTCTCTCCAAGTCTCCATCTCCTTTGAAGGATGTAAAATATGGCATGTTGAATTTACGTGGAGGTTGTACCTGCTCGATCTCTTCCATGAAGGGTAACCTGCTTATGGTGGTCATGTCCTGTCGTAATGCCCCGTCAATGACCTCATTGCATTGGAAATCGCATAATCGCTCAGTCAGAAGCCTTTATACTTCTTCTTGAATTTGCCTTTGTTGGGGGTAGTAGAGCTCTCGACAAACCCCGATCGTGACCTACTAGTCTAGGCTGCTCTTCCATGTGTTCGGCTTGTCTATGCCAACTGGGGTGTATATGGTATGTTCCCAGCAAACAAACGATTTTCTTGCATGATGCCGGTTAAACTTGAGCTAAATTACGTATTTCTCTCCGTCCATTGTGCTGCCTATTCTGACGTGAAGTGAAGGATGCTCCTTGCGGGCCTAGCGTGAATGAACACTTCGCCTGGAAGGTTGCTCATGTTAATTATCGGAATGTGGCCCCAACCGTGAATATATGCTTGTTCGTGGGTCTAGCCGAGAGTATACGCTATCTTGGGGGCCCAATCGGGAGTGTACTTTACCCAAACACTCGATTTATGGTTAGTTGAGGGGCTGCTTATCGGGATGCTATTGAAGAGGTTCATTGTTTGCCTTTGTCCTACTTTGGGACACCTCGTCTAGAGCACGTTGCATCTCGATGTGCTGCAAGAGCTACTTCACCAAGGTTGTCTACTATGCGAGGGCTCTTGTCAACTCTATGACTTGTTGAGACAAATGTTGTTTTCCATTTGGGTTGGAATAGCTTGGATATTATGCATTTCCTTGAATAATGAAAGTGTAGTGGACTCCATACGCGAGATTTAAATCAGGATACGTTAAATCTGTGGAGAAATAGGGTGAAAATACCCCTGGTTCAATCATCAATCCAGAAATCTAAAGTCAAGATGGTTGGACCGGTCTTGCATTGCTTAAAGGGCCACGGGAGAGGGTTGGATCTCGAATTGGGTCGCGGGAGCGGGTCAGATCATTGAAGAGGGTCGGGTGGGCTGGGCCACATGCGTGGGATGCCTCATGTATTGTGCGCATAGGCATTGGACCTGCTTCTTCCTCAGCGTGACTTGGGTCGACTGCTGTGCGGTGCAGGTTTGGGCGAGGCTTTGCAAAATGGTGCCAGCTTAGGCTTAATACTGCTCCATGGCATGGGCCTGGGCGTGCTAGGCTTGGGCTTGCTTTTGGGCCTAGGCTATTGAAGTGGCAGCAAGCTGGGCTACCTTCAAGGCTTGTGCCTTTTGGGCCGTTGTGTGCTCAATCTGGGTTGGCTGCCTTGTGGCATAGGCTTGAGCCTGTTGCTGCGATGTGGCCTGCTCACCGTGAGTAGTGGGCTCGCTGAGGGTTATTGTCGTGGCTGCTACCACGGTGGTTGTCACGGTGATGCTCCGTGGGGTGGTGTCGCTTCACTCGTCATTGTGTTGAGCCTCGTAGATCGTTACGGTCCAAATTCTTAAATGTTGGAGGTTTCGTTCATCGTGGTTTTTGAATCTCTAGTTATTGTACTTTTCTTTTACGTTTATTCAAAGAATTTTATAACAAAAAAATCTAGGAATAAGAACATACGAAAACTCTACAAATGAACGAGAAATTAGAAACGTTGAACGCGAGAGTCTTCTTCGAGCGTGTAAATCAAACTCTCAATGAAAGCACCAATTTGTGGATGCAAATTTTCGCCTTTTTCTTATTGGACGAAAATGCACCTGCAAAACAATTAACACCTAAGATCAAGGCTAAGAGCCTCACGCGCCCAAGATGAATGGGGGGCTTTGGTCGAAGAATGTCCGATGCTAAAGTTAGAATTTGAAAGATAAAGTGTTTAGACAATTTTAGGAGAAGAATGGACTTAGGTTTTTGGAGAAATGAAGGGCTATATATAGGGGTGTGGCCAGCCTTATTTGGAGAAATAGGGACCGGCCACTTATGGTGGAAATTGTCTCTAATTGCAAGATATTATGCCAAATAATATCTTGCAATCAATTAGGAATTTAATCAAGTAATTTTGATAATTAATCCCAATTTGAAAAGAATAATTGGGAGTTACCTTGTGGATGTGGATTTGATGAGGAGTGATGAGAAGGTTTAAAAGAATATCCTTTTGATTATCTTTGACCTCAATTGAGCCGTTATTATCCGTTGCATGTGCGTGGGAGTCCTGGTGTGCCTCAAGGGTAATTTTTTCTTTTACCCAAAAATTCACGTCTCGCCTCCATATTTTTCTTCATTATTTTTGGCTCCACACTTTACATCTGTTAATTTGAACATGTTGTGTCTGCATGTGACCCCTTCTCTAGAAATGAGATGTCCTAAACATAATGCCTAAAAAATTCCTTTAATTGCACTTTTTGAAAGAGCATTCAATTTGAATTCTTCTTTCTATGAAAGGGATACTATTCCATCTAAGACCATCTCTAAACGAGATATCAAATATGCTAAATAAGATTAAAAGACATTCAACTGTTCTCCAATGGATATGTCATATATGATATGACAATTGAGTCATTTGACTCCTTGCTCTCTAACTGTCTTTTTTGGCAGCAAACAAAGAAGGAATCAATATATTTAATTTAATTTTTTAATGCATGAGTCCCATTAATAACCAATAGAACAAAAATTAAAATGAATTTTGGTTATTTTTTACTAGTTAATGTAACTCTAGACCCAACAAAATAATAATATAAATATTTGACATATTCCTTGGGGAAAAAAGAATTTGATATATTATATTTGACATCTTCTTTGGAGATCCTCTAACACAAACCGCCTACAATACTTTATTATTGATATTTATGTTTCATTAAAATCTTCAAAAGCTCTCCTTTTCTTTGCGCCGACATTCAAATGGATATATGGGGTTTTATTGCTTTTTGGACCGTGTATTTCTAGCCATCATTTTACAGGTTCAAATTATCATTTTTCTCAAGCACTAATTAAACCGAGATGATAGTTTGGACCAAAACAAACCGAAGAAACCAAAACAGAAAGTGAGATGAAAGTTTCTTCCAACTTCATTCGATCCATTAAAACCCAAGATTTCAACTGCATTTATCCCAATTGACCTTTTGAACATAAAATAAATACATATAATTAGCATGGGTACAGTTATTAAAATTAAAAATGGGTACAAATAAATTAAAAAATATGGGTACAAATACAAATAAAACTTTAAAAAATATGGGCACAGAATATAATAAATACTTAAAAATAAATAATAGAGTAATATTGTTCTTCACAAAATTATAGCAAGAAAATAATGTACCCAAATAATTATTAACATGTTTTAAAAAATAACTACTTATATGTTTTACAAAATAACTACTTATATATTTTAAAACATAAAATAAATACATATAATTAGCATGGGCACAGTTAGTAAAATTAAAAATGGGTACAAATAAATTAAAAAATATGGGTATAAATACAAATAAAACTTTAAAAAATATGGGCACAAAAAAAATTAATATATGGGTACAAATTAAAACTGAAAATAAAATTGGTACAAATTAAAAAAAGGTTTGTAAATTAAATATGGGTACAAACTAAAATTACAAATATATGATAAAAAATTTAGCCACAAATATAAATATACCAGATGTAACAGTTCTAACACTAAATGAATATATTTAGAAATAAAAATATATTTGTAAGAAATTGGAAGTGCAAATATTAAACTCTCATTACCTGTCGTCACGCTTCCATCCTATGGGAGAAGGGTCATGAACCAGAATAATGGAGAACATTTTCTTCTCCCGATTGATCTTGTTCACCTTCGCCTTCTTCTGTTAACATAAAATAAACGTATTAGTGTAATATTTAAAGATAATGAAACAACCGCATAACCCAAAGTAGGACTAATTCAAAAAAAATTAAAATTAAATAAGTAATACATATTTAAAAACGTACCACATAGGCGGCTCTTGAAAATGGCCGCAAACCATGCCCACTCATCTAGCTGATCCACCAACTCCAATAGGCAACCATCCTTTAGAGCGACCTCCTGATCATCAAACAACTCATAATGTTTATGGAGGTCGCTCTTCCATTGCTTGTACCACACGAAAAACAACTTGTCCAGGTAGCCATCCATCGACTTGTTTATGTCGTCAAAATTGTAGTTTGTCTACAATTTACCGAGCATTAGATTAAAATAATAGAAAAACCAAAATTAAAATTGAAGTTAAAGTTGAAAAAGGAAAAAAAATAATATAAAAATATGAACTTGATATATAATTGAATGAAACAAATTTAGGAACTTATCGATAAACAGTCGCAGACTAGGTTCTTCGTCTTCGCCAGGACCTCACGCCATGATTTCCATAGCATAGGGTACTCAGTCCTAACGACATGTCCCACGTCGTGGGCCAATGCACTATGCTACTCTGCTGTAGGTGCAGCCTGATGCCTCTCGTCGTATCCTATCGTGATACGATCATTTGTCACCTAAGAGACCTACCCCGTCTTTAGCTAGTTGGCAAGCTCCCTAGGTGTTTTTCTTAGTTGCAAAACAACAAAACAAACGTCAAACATGAAGTTAACGAAATTTTGGCAAAACCTCCCCTCCATTTATACCAATTCCCAAAACTTGCAAACAGTAATAAACAATAAAGCATAAGCAAGCAACATTGTGAACAGTTTTTTAAGGGACGAAAATTGGATTTAAATGTTACACATGGTTATAATCTAAAACACATCTTTTTTAAGATAAAAATCAAGTTTTCTAAATATATTTAACTAGTCATTTAGCTAGGTTTAGATTTGTTTTTTCCATTTTTTTTTTGTTTTTTTGCTAAAGTAGCAAATAGCTGCATTTGAATTAGCTAAATTAAATGGATTTTGTTATTTTACCTGGGTGGGTGGCGTCAAATGCAAATGCGGATATGGATATCGTGTCGGGAGTCTGGGGACACTGGTGAGTACAATGCGCACTAAGCGGAAGCGCAAACGAAGACATCGATGATGCTGGTGCCTGTGCCACATCGGGCCTCCTGATGCAACCATGAGAGGGTCCATTGTCGTTGGGGTGCTCCTCGCAGTAGGAGGTGGTAGAGGATGTGCAAGGGACCCACGGCTCGTGGCCTTCCGGGTAGATATAAGGTAAGACATCTACAAAATTGAAAGAGAAATGAAATTAAAACTAAAGTTAATAATTTAAAAATTAAATCGTATATGTAAGCAAATTTAAAACTAAATGTGTAATTACAAAATAACAGTATATAACTATTTTGTACAAATTGAAATTAATCCACCAGAACCGTAACCTATTCTCCTAGAACCCTAACCTAATCCGGCCAATAAAAGCTATCCCTAACCTTAATTTGATAAATAAGAATAATAATTAAAACCTTAATCCCCCTAATCCCCCAAATTACATTTTCTAATTAAATTCCCACTAATTACAAATTAGCCCTAACTTCATTGGCCCTAATTATATACCATTCTTCTAAATTAGAAAATTCCCCTAACCCTAATCTAATCCGTACCCTAATCCCCCAAATTACATTTTTTTTAATTAAATTCCCCCTAATTAAAAACTACCCCTAATTACAAATTAGCCCTAATTTTGAATTAATCCCTAATTATAAAATTAACCCTAATTATATACCATTCTCCTAAATTCAAAAATTCCCCCACACCTAATCTAATCCGTGCCTACCCCTAACCCTAATCCCCCAAATTACATTTTATAATTAAATTCCCCATAATTAAAAACTACCCCTAATTACAAATTAGCCCTAATTATAAAATTAACCCTAATTATATACCATTCCCCTAAATTAGAAAATTCCCTAACCCTAATCCCCCAAATTACATTTTCTATTTAAATTCCCCCTAATTAAAAACTACCCCTAATCACAAATTAAGGCCAAATTATAAAATTAACCCTAATTATATAACATTCCCCTAATCTGGAAACCCTAATGTCGAACCCTACTCCCACATTCTAATCCCTAATCCCCAATACGAAAGCCTAATTGGCAAACCCTAATCCCCAAATCAAAATCCGAATCGGCAAACCCAAATCCCCTAATCTAATAAGCCTAAATAACTAACTAAAATGAAATTAAAATAAATAAATAAAAGCAAGATACTTGAGAATGGAGGACTGAGGCTGGATTGACGGACGGTGAGAGAGCGAGGAATGCACGGCGTGGGTTACGCGGGAGAGAGAGAGAGAGAGAAAGGGAGACTACGTCTGAAAGAGGGAGAGAGCACGTGAGGAGAAGGGTGGGTGGAAGAGAGAAGGACGGTGGCTAAGAGGTAGAGAGAGAGCATCTGAGAAAGGAAGAGAGCAGCGGAGAGAGGGAGTTTGCGGGCGAGAGAAAGAAGAAAGTGAGGGGAGAGAAGGGTTGTCTAAAATAATTAAAACGAATATCTTTGCACGACGCAAGGTTTGTCGCATAAACGTCACTTAGTATTATGCGCGACAATGTCATTCGCTACACAACCCATAAAGTTGTTGCGCGTTTTTTTGAATTTTCATGGAAATTAAAATTTTTCAAATAAAATTTAAAGACGCGCCAAAAATTAGAAATTGCGCAACATAATATGATAGTTCACCATGCAAAAAGGCTTCGCGCAACATATTTTTGGTATTCGTCGTGCAAGAATGTGTAATAATTTTAAAAAATTCGAATCTTTTCATAAATAAAAAAAAATTGAATTTTTAGGACCCAGAATGGTGTCCCCGCATAAAATTAAAAACCTTGCGCGAAGAACTTATATATTTCCCAAGTGTGTGAAAAAAAAACAAGGATTTTTTTGGAAAATCTAACATTAAATAAACACATAAATTTACATATATTTCACTAAAATTATATTATGATAAATACAGTTGCATTTAATTTACAAAACAATTCAAAATTATATTAATTAATCCTCGTCCGAGCTGTAATAACTTTCAGTATCATCGATATCATCATCTTCAATGTCTCATTCCTCCTCGTCGATAAGTATGTCACTGTTGTCGTTCGTAACCTCTGGTGGATCGTATCGAGGAAGATCACTGAGGTCAATTGAAATTGAGTCAATCGGTATTTCGATTCCAGCAACGCCCGATATCTGAAATGGTTCTTAGACAAGATAATTATCCTATACTGTTTCCCCACCAATTTTTATCGAAGACTTAAGACGTTGGTCCGCGACGTTGATGTCATCTCCATCGGAAGTTGGATCTTGGTCTGGTATAGCATACACATTTCTATGCTTAATCCTTTGAACAACTTTCCAACCCCTTAAGGTCATTTATATAAAGAACCTATTTTACCATACTTGTCAAAATGTAAGGGTCATCATCATTCCAAGTTCTAAATGTTGACTGAAAGAAAGCCATGGTCCCTTTTAACACTTCCCTGCCTATGTGGGTCTGTATCAAACCATCAACATTTAAAATCGATAACTTGGTAACGGTCTTTGTACAGCACTTGTACGACACTTGATAGTTTGCCATAAAACTCAATGTATGTACTTTCGCCACCACCCGAGACATAGACACCGTTGATTTGCGTACATAACTTGTCAGTAAGCTCAGCCCCCAAAAACTTGACGCCGTTAACATAGGAACCGGAGTACAATTATGCCCGAATAGGACCGAATGCCAAGTTATATAACTCTTCAGTGTAAGCGGATGAATTGGATGCTTTTAGCTGATTTACCTGACACGATAGCAAAAAATAACTTCTTTTTTTAGCCACTTCAAATATATTGATGAAATTAGAACAACATGTTCAATACAAATGCATAAAACTTACATATTCGAGAAACCACTGAGGAAACAATCCACGGTGCTTTTTCGCATATAGATGTGAAGGATAATCCTGCTTCATCATTTGTCCATGCTCATCCAGGTAAATCATTGTCTCATCACAATCATTTAGTATGAACCAATGCGCAACCCCGTCATTATTACATTGAGGACGATTAAAAGCCATCTGAACATCTTTTAGATACATTCCACTAAATGCAAAGGACTTATATGTGACCCAAGCCTCTATAATGGATCCTTCGAGCTTGGCCCTATTTTATACACGTTTTTTTTAGGTCACCGAGAAGCCTACAAACAAACAAACACCGTTACCAAAAAAATAAAAATAAACACGTCATATGACGACGAATAAACATTTGAATAACAAGTTTATACCTTTCTATTGGGTACATTCATTGATAGTTAACTAGTCCAGTAAGTAATGGCAAGTGAACCATAACATGGATCATACTTATGAAGAAAGCTGGAGGAAATATTTGTATGAACTTGCAGAGGACTTGGACAATGTCGTGGCGCAACGACCTTGCAGTTAGTTGGGAAAAAATACGGACAACAATATGATTGGCTTCACGAAATCATCGGGTAACAGGTGTCGAATACCAACCAGAAGTAAGCATTGTAGAATGACATGGCAATCATGACTCTTTAGTCCTGAAAGTTTTCTGCCATCAACGTTCACACAATGGCCAATATTTAAAGCATGCCCATATGGAAACTTGATTGAAGATAGAAACTTCAAAAATTCTTTTATGTCTTTCGGTTTGAGTGAAAAAAATGCAAAGAACCTTCTCGCTGTGTTGTTGTCCCTATTCATCCATAAACGGGGTTGTATTCCCATTCGCTCCAGATCGAGACGACCTTTGACAGTGTCTTTCATCTTGCCCTCAATATCTAGAATTGTGCCCACCAATGTGTCAAACACATTTTTCTCAACATGTATAACACCGAGGTTATGTCTCAGTTTTAGCTTAGACCAATACAAAAGCACAAAAACATAGACTTGTGGGTCCAATTCAGATGGGTTGCTGGTTGGTGCCTGTTACAGTTTTTTCGATTGGACAAAAATCTAAATGGTTAAATTGTTCTAAAATTTGGTCACCAGACCACTCTTTGGTCTGAGCCAAGGCTCTATTTTGCCGTTGAACTCTGTCCTTCTCATGCCATCTTTGATGACTAAGATAGCAAACTTTTGCACCATGCCTACCAAATGTGAAGTCATCCTTACAAACTGGACATGCAAAATAATCTTTAGTGCTCCACCCGGAAACCATGGCATATGTCAAAAAATCATTTACTGTCCACATCACAACTGCCTACATTGTGAACATCTTCCTAGTAGACTTATCGTACGTACGAACACCATTTTCCCATAAATCTTTTAGCTCATCAACTAATGACCGCAAATAAACATCAATAAACTTACCGAGATCCTTAGTGATAAAAAGAGTCATCATCATATATTCTTTCTTCATGCATTTTCAAGGTGGCAAATTATAAGGAAAAACAAATATCGACCAAGTGTTGTGGTATTGGTTTAGAACCCCGAAAGGATTGAATCCGTCAATGACAAGTCCCAACCTAACGTTACGAGATTCAGCTGCAAAACCGGTGTACATCCAATCGAACTCTTTCCATGCCTCTCCATCTACATGATGCCTCATCACGTCATCATCCACCCGACTTTCTTTATGCCATCTCATGTCACTTGCAGTATGCGTCGACATATACAATCGTTGCAACCTCAGCTTTAGTGGCAAATAACGCACAACTTTCTGTGGAATCTTCATTAGTCTATTCTGCAATGTCATTTTGAACCTTGACACATTACATACTGTGCATTTGTCCAACGCTTTATTCTCCTTATAGAATAATATACAATTATTTTTGCAAGCATGAATTTTTTCATAACCCAATCCCACACCATGCAACACCTTTTGTGCACTTTTATGATCTTTTGGCAAACTATTATCCTTTGGCAACATTCTCTTGAAAACCCCCAAAAAATAGTTTAAGCACTAGTTTGAAATTCGATACTTTATTTTGCCGTGCATTAACTCCACAATGGTCGTGAGCATCGAATAGTCTTCGCATCCAGGGTAGAATTCTTGGTTGGCACTTTTTAACAATTTTTCATATTGTTCGAAGGCTTCACTGTCCATGGGTTCAAGCACATCATCATCCCCTTCCTCGTTCGTATTAATTGAGGGAACTGGAAAAGCTTCATTTATAAAGTCCATAACCTGTTCCTTAGGATCCACATTAGGTTCAACATTTTTCATTCGTGTCACGTTTGATGATGAAGCATAATGTAATTGTTCCCCATGGTGATTGCAATTCGTATATGTGTCTATCATCCCATTTCTTAGCAAGTGGAATCAAACATTTTCAAAAGTCTCATTTAAGGTGTTGTTACGCCTCCTACACGGACATTGGATTCTAAGTGCCCTTGGGTTGTGTTTGGATGTGAACTCAATAAACTCATTTATTCCATCCAAGTACTCAAGTGCACATTTGTTCGGATTCTATATCCACTGTTTGTCCATAATGTCTCTAAGCACAACAAAATTGCAATCAATACATAACTGCAATGAGATATTGTCACCTTATGCCTCTAGTTAAGGCCCTAATCTTATTCGGGAATGCACAGTTATGTAACGCAGTTTACGACTCCATCGAATTAGATTTCGATGTGGAAAATTTCCGATAGCATCTCCCTACAGTTTTCAAGTGTCCAATGTAGATATCAAA